TAAAAACCAGCATGAGATGTCATTATATTAATTGATGATCACACATTTTTTTCAAGGGTTACATCTTTATATTATTTATTTAGTATTTAATATACATGTATATATTTGTAATGACTCTTATATATAACATATATAATATTTATTATATACTATATATATTATACTACTATGTTGTAATTTTTCATATATTGTTATGTATTATAATACATTATATATTATAATCATTGTACTATATTATACATTATTGTATACATATATATCATATAATCTATACAAACATATGTGATAGGTTACATCTATATATCTTCACAAGACACTGAAAATTGAAAAAGTTATATTTTCAAGAGGAGAAAGCTGAATTTTAAAGAATTTTATAAGATCAGTGTCACCTAATTAGTCTAAAAGTTGCATCTATTTCCAGCACATTAGATTTATATCCTAGTTTTCAGCGTATGTTTATCTTCATTGAGGGATAATTTGATTCTTGGGTCTAGTGTTCATTTCTGTATTCTGTTTTGTCATTTATCATATAATTGATTACTTTTAGTCCTTCATGTATTTACAAAGATTACCTTGGCATTTTCATTTCCCAGAGGGCAATTAGTGTGTTTTCTCCTTGGGGCTTCCCTGTGGACCTCAGGAGGGGCTTCAGCGTGTAGTGGAAGGATTAAAATAGTTAACACTTGTGGCTTGCCTTACTTGGTGAAGCAGTTCATTTCAAAAGGTAAGAGGAAAAGCTTTCTACTACTTAGGAAGTATCTATTAGTCATAACTTGATTAGAAACTGAACTTTATGCCATAAAGTATTAAAATCTAAGAAAGAAGATTCTACTTCAACTGAAATTGTCTTCCAAATGGAGTCCTAGGACTACTAAGAGATCTAAACTTCATAATTTTTGTCTATCAAAATTCATCATAACTTGAAAGACAAAAATTGTGGAGTTTAGATAATTCAGAAGGAATATATTTCAACAGGAACATGATTTAGTGTATTTGAAATGACCACTCAATACACAAATTCTTCTTTTTTTGTTTTTGAATTCTTTATATATATATAAATATATAAAATTCTGTAAAATTTTGTAAAAATTCTGTACAGAGGGGTTACAGTTATATGAGTAAGGTAATGAGTGTATTTCCTACCGAGCATTGTTACCTCCTCCTTTGTTTTTTTCCCTACCATCCTTTCCCTCCCCTCCTCTACAACTCCTCCTTTCCCCCTCCTTCTGCCCCCCCACGCCCCACTGAGGTTGTAAATTTCATTTTCAACTTTTTGCTATGCATCTCATTGTCACAATGGGTCAACCTGTATCTCCAATTAAGCATTCCACTGTATCCCTTCCCCTCCCCAACTTATTAAAATGTATATACAAGAAGTAGAACACTGGAATCAAATACAGTGAAAACAGGGGTTATACCATGGGGGAAGATCATACAAAAGAAACAAAAGAACCACATAGTGCATTATAAGTACATTAAAAAAATAGCAAGAAAGAAAAAGCCACTTGTGTCCCTGTTTTGGGGTACATTTTGCTTAACATCATCTTATATGGTCATATATACATAGCCTTTGACTTTCTCTGCTTGTCCTAGACATGTACTAGTGATTGCAAACAAGGGAAACCATGGGACCTATGTTTCTTTGGGCCTGGCTTACTTCACTTAGTATAAATTTTTCCAAGTCTTTCCATTTCCTAACAAATGAGGCAATGTCATTCTTTCTGATGGAGGCATAGAATTCCATTGTGTATATATACCACATTTTCTTGATCCATTCATCTACTGAGGGGCACCTGGGTTGGTTCCCTATCTTAGCTATGGTGAATAATGCTACAATAAACAATGTTGAATGATGCTATAATAAACATTGTTGTGCTGATAGCTTTGGTTTGACCTTGCTTGTGATTGTTTGACCCGCTCCAATCAAACTCTAAGTATCTAAAGACATTTCATATTACAAGAGGAATATCCTCGCAGGCAAATATGGAAAAAAGAATTTATGTTCCTTTCTTCAGGACCATAAACATATATATTTTTATTGTAACGATACTGCATGAATTCTTACACTTGCACATATGGATGTAGGACTAGTTGATGGTTTATTAATTATTTTTATAAACGTATCAAAACAAAAATAGAAAATGTTTCATCTCTGTATGTTAAATGTTATTTTTTCACTTTACACAAAGTAATTTGAATTTATTTTAATTAAGAATTCTAGAAATCTCAAAGGATCAAGCTTTTGACTGCTTGTAATCCCACTTTATGAATTTTTTGTCCTATATATATTAAAACATCTTCCCCAGAAATCCTCTGAGATGCTTATTGAGAAAAAAGACATATGGGTTCTTCTTCTAAAAAGAGTTTTCAGCTATCATTCTCACAATGTTTTTGATTGATAGGAGGTTTAGTATGTCAAAATCTAGTGTTTTTCATATTGAGTATAAATTATTTGTTTTTTTTTACATCCAGTTCAGCTTGTGTCCAGTAAATATAATTGTATTGGTAATGTAGTTGGGTGTGAGACATGAAGGAGGAAAAATAAAATCCATCATCATGAAATCTGTGTTTGGAAATTTGCTTGTTTTGTGGAGAGGGACTTAAACTGTAGAGACTAAACCCATGACTTCACATACGTAAGATAAACTCTACTGGCCTCCAACTCAGCCCAAATTCTTAAAACTTGTTGGGTATTATAGGTGATCTAATATTTTAGTTTTCATCATAAAAGCATTCTGTCTAGATACAAATGAATTCAATTTTTTTGGGTTGTTGCATGCACATTAACGACTCACACTATGATTGTGTTTAATAATTTCTGTAAACATTGGCATAGAAACATGTGGGATTCACATCCATCATCGCAGTATTGCTTCTGTAAACTGAATGTGAGCACACTCTCAAGTCTGACCAGATGTCAACTTCCACTGCTAACTACTGAGGTAACCCTATGCAAATTAGTTTACACAAAGGATGTCTCATTTTAAAATGGAAAATGTTATCGTACATTACCCATGGTATTGTTAGGACTAACTAAATTAAAACAGAACTAAACAAATTAATATAGCCGAAACATGTAGAAAAATATTTCCCAGTAGATAGGAAAGAAATGTGGCTACCATTGTAACAGAAGAAATTTTCACAAAATAAAGTGCAAGGAAACAGATGAACCCCAGGATAAGGACTCAAATGGTTTTTCTTTCTTGCTATTGTTTCTAACATATTTATAAGATGATTTCTTTGTTGCTTTGTATGTCCCTCCCCCACGGTATAACCCCTGTTTTCACTGTATTTGATGTTGGTATAATTTGGGGAGGGGAAGGGAAAAAACAAATTGTTTAAATAAGGATACAGGAGGACCCATTGCAACAGTGAGATGTACAAGACGTTATGTAGAAAAACGAACTTTACAACTTTGGCGCTGGGGGTGGGGTAAAGGGGGCAGTGGGGGATGGGAAGGGATGAGAAGGGGAAACAAAGGAGGAGGCAACAATGCTTGATAAGAAATGTACTCATTACCCTGCTCATGTAATTGTAACCCCTCTGTACGGTATTTTCGCAATTAAAAATAAATAAATAAATAAAAAGAAAAAAAGAAACATGTGGGATATATTTTATTTGTATAATTTTGTATATCCCATGAATTACTTTTAACAAAATTATGTATTAAATATATATATATATATATATATATATATATATATATATGCTCAAGGACTGCTTAAAAATCAGAATATAAATTGAAAACTCTCATTTCTATGAAATTCGAATTCATTTAAAAATACCAGTAAAAATGGATGCCACAAATGGACAATTAATGATATTTGTGTCAAGAATGAAAATTAAAAAAAAATACTTTAAGAAAAATTTTACTTCAGGAGACAAATACATTAGTCTTTTGAATTAACCTTTTTATGCAAACAAGATTACTTCTGTTAAGAGTATCATCTATTCTGCTCATTTCTATCTCTCAGTTGCTAATGGAATGGGATGATTGTCAGATGAAAAGGAAATTCAGATTGAGGGAATGGGTAAGGATGGGAGACATGGGGGAAAACGGTGGAAGGGGTGAAATTGATTGAGATAGTTGTACTCAAATTAAAAATTGCTCAACTTAAAATCCCATTTGTAAAACTTTTTAGAGATTTTTTAATTGAGAAAATACCATACAGAGGGGTTACAATTACATGAGCAAGGTAATGAGTACATTTCTTATCAAACATTGGTGCCTCCTCCCTTGTTTCTCCTTCCCATCCCTTCCCATCTCCAACTCCCCTCACCCCCTCCTACCCCCCATGCCAAAGTTGTAAAGTTCGTTTTTCGACATAACGTCTTGTACATCTCATTGCTGCAATGGGTCCACCTGTATCCCTATTTAAAATTTTTAAATAGAGATTTTTGTTTTTTAAAGTCAGGTTCCAGTGGCTCAGATCTATAAGCTTAGCTACTTAGGAGACTGAGATCTGAGGATCACAGTTGGAAGCAGCCTGGACAAGGAAGTCCTTGAGACTCTTCTCCAATTAACTATCCAAACAAAACAACACAAAAAACAAACACAAACAAAATAATAAAATGAGCTAAGGCTCAAGCAGTAGAATCCTAACCTTGAAAATGCAGACATACAATATGAAATTAATGTAGAAATTTGATAAAATGGAAGGCATATATTGGTATATAGATCAGTGGTAAATCCCTTGCCTAGCAGGTAAGAAGTCCTTGTTTATTTCCAGTGTCAAAGAAAACAGAAAGAAAGAAAAAGAAAACTAGAAATTCAGCTAGTGTAATAGGTCGGTATTTTTGTTGTTACATGAGAAAAAAGACAGTAAATGAATAAAATATTTTCTTCAATTCATTTAAACAGAACCATGCATCTGGCTGGGCCTACCTGCATAACTGCTCAATCAATCTGCCTTGAAGACTTCCTTATGTGTGCCAAAAATGTGAAGATGAAGATGTAACTGGACTCTAGGTTCACAAGCTATTGCTTTGAGGATCAACAAATGCCAGGGATACCACCAAGTATGGATTTGCTCAGAATTCATTCGAACAATAAGACTGAAGTCAGCATGTTTATACTCAGGGGATTCACAGATGATTTTGAACTGCAAGTCATCTTATTTTTACTATTTCTAGCAGTCTATCTTTTTACTCTAGTAGGCAATTTGGGATTGGTGTTATTGGTAATAGTAGATTCTCGGCTACACAACCCCATGTACTATTTTCTGAGTGTGCTATCATTCTTGGATGCCTCCTATTCTAGCGTTGTCACACCAAAAATGTTGGTAAATTTCCTTGCAAAGAATAAATCCATTTCTTATGCAGGGTGTGTCACAGAAATGCTTCTCTTTGTGACTTTTGGAACCACAGAATGTTTCCTTTTGGCTGCTATGGCTTATGACCGCTATGTAGCCATCTACAACCCCCTCCTGTACTCGGTGACCATGTCAGCCAGAGTTTATCTGCCACTCATCATTGCTTCCTATCTTGGTGGCATTACACATGCATTGATACACACAGTGGCTACTTTTAGCCTGTCCTTCTGTGGATCCAATGAAATCAAGCATGTCTTCTGTGATATCCCTCCACTACTTGCTATTTCCTGTTCTGACACAAAAATAAACCAGCTTCTACTCTTCTACTGTGTAGGGTCTATTGAGATAGTCACTATTCTGATTGTCCTGGTCTCCTATGGTTTCATTCTTTTGGCCATTCTGAGAATGCGTTCAGCTGAAGGGAGGAGAAAAGTGTTCTCTACCTGTGGCTCTCACCTAACTGGAGTGTCCATTTATCATGGGACAATCCTCTTCATGTATGTGAGACCAAGTTCTAACTATGCCTTGGAGCATGACATGATCGTGTCGACATTTTACACCATTGTGATCCCCATGCTGAATCCCATCATTTACAGTTTGAGAAACAAAGATGTAAAGGAGGCAATGAAGAAATTATTGAAAAGAATTTGGTTCATCAATCAAGTGGATTTTTAAATATAAGAAGAATCGTCAAGTATGCTGATGGTACATCTACTCCTGTTTAATCAGATACTGGAGGAAATACAAATCTTGATTATATTACTAAAATATTTCCAAACAAACTATCATCAACTTTCTAATCTAACATGGTAGAAACTTCTGCCTATTTTGTCATTTGCATGTCAGAAATTTGTCCAAATTTATCTGAATTAATTAATCATCAATGGACAGGAATCACTCTGCTTGTTTTGCATAATTTGACTTTCATGGATTGTGCATTAAATGATTTATTCAGGATTTTCTGGCTTGAAATAGCTTACATCTGTACATTTCCAGAATCAATGGGATCCTATCACTCAGTCTTGCTCTGGTAAAATGTTGCTTCAATTGCCCTATTGATCCAAACATTAAATAAAGTAAGGTAGTCATTTCTGTATTTTCCCCTGTTTGACTCAAAACTAGAGTTTTCTCTTCCATTATTTAAATTTTTCTTCTCACTTCTGAATCACAGAAGTTACTAAAAGCCCTTGTGAAATTTAAAAGTGTAAACTGATACTGTATGTAGTGCTTACTGTGTGTGTACACCTCCAAGGATCACCAAAACCTAAGAAGATAGCTTAGACAACAAGCTAGAAATGACTATTGAACCTGGCTACTCCAAGATCAAAAGAGCATAATTGTTACTAGTCTTCATAATGTACACTAAATTTAAAAAAAAAAAAAAAACTTAAGTAATTACATTTCATTTGTTTTCTTTCTTTTTTAATTTAAATTTTTTGTACCAATGATGTATAAAGGGATTACATTTACATAAGTAAGATGAGTACATTATTTTGAATATTTTCCCTCATTTTCTCCCTCATTTTCTCCCATTTTCCCCCAAATTTCCCCCAACACACTTGAAAATTAATTTCCAATATAGTGTCTTGTATGTATCACTGTTGAATTGGTTTACCCTTTGTCAGATTCTGTGATTGTACTTTCCTTCTTAAATCAGATAGACTTATAAACAAGACAAAGGATTTAGAAATCAAAAACATTGACAACAGGGAATAAACCAAAGGAAAAATGAAAGAAAAAAGCAATAACTGCAAACAGAACAGTATGATTAAAAAAGAAATAAACAAACACCCAAACCTCTTGTTTCTATTTCGGCAGTTCATTTCAATAAGCATCGTTTTTATTGTAAAAATAGAGTACAGAGGGGTTACAATTACTTGGGCAAGGTAATGAGTATATTTCTTATCAAGCATTGTTGCCTCCTCCTTTGTTTCCCCTTACCATCCCTTCCCTTCTCCCCCCCACACCCCCACCCCTCCTACCCCACTAACACCACCCCTCTACCCCCCAGCAAAGTTGTAAAGTTCGTTTTTTGACATAACGTCTTGTATATCTCATTGTTGCAATGGGTCCACCTGTACCCCTATTTAAACAATGTGTTTTTTCCCTTCCCCTCCCCAAATTATACCAACATCAAATACAGTGAAAGCAGGGGTTATACCTTGGGGGAGGGACATACAAAGCAACAAATATGTCATCTTATAAATATGTTAGAAACAATCACAAGAATGAAAAAAAAACATTTGAATCCTTACCTTGGGGATCATTTCGCCTAACATCAACTTATCTGACAGTTTCTGCTTGCCTCAGACATATACGAGTTATTGCAAATAAGGGAAACCATGGGACCTATGTTTCTTTGGGCCTGGCTTACTTCACTTAATATAATTTTTTCCAAGTCTTTCCATTTCCTAACAAATGGGGCAATGCCATTCTTTCTGATGGAGGTATAGAATTCCATTGTGTATATATACCATATTTTCATGATCCATTCATCTCTGAGGGGCATTTGGGTTGGTTCTATATCTTAGCTATGGTAAAATAATGCTGCAGTAAACATAGTTTTGCTGGTAGCTTTCCTATGGTCTTGTTTGTAATCATTTGGGTAAATGCCTGAAAGTGGGATTGCTGGGTCATAGGGGAGGAACCTCCACACTAGTTTCCAAAGTGGTTAAACAAGTTTACACTCCCACCAACAATGCAGGAATGTTCCCTACTGTCCACCTCCCCTCCAGCTTCTGTTGAATTCTTGATTATAGCCATTCTAACTGGAGTGAGATGGTATCTCAATGTTGTTTTGATTTACATTTCTTTTATAGCTAGGGAGGTTGAACATTTCTTCATGTATCTATTGGCCATCCTCCTTTCCTTTTTGGACAAGTTTCTTTTTAAGTCTTTAGCCCGCATTTTTATTGGGCAGTTGTTTCTTTGAGGATTTGTTGTTGGTGGATTTAAGTTTTTGAGTTCTATGTATATTATAGATATGAGACCCTTGTTCATGGTATGGCTAGTGAAGATCTTCTCCCAATCCATGGGCTTTCTATTGATCTTGATACCCTAGGTCTGCTTGGCACAGGCCAAAATTTTCTTAATAGAGACCCAGAAACACAACAAATCAAAGAAAGGTTGGACAAATGGCATTGAATGAAATTGGAGAGCTTTTGCATGGCAAAGGACATAGCTAGCAAGATCAATAAGCATCATTTTGTATGGTCATTGCAGTATCATTTACTATAGCTAAGACATGGACTTAACCCAGATGTTCCTCAATAGATGAATGGATCAAGAAAATGTGGCATATACACACAAAGGAATTCTATGCTTCCATCAGAAGGAATGGCATTGCTCCATTCATAAGGAGATGGAAAGGCTCAGCAAAAAAACATATTAAGTGAAGTATTCCAGATGTCAAGAAACATAGCTTCTATGGTTTCCTTCATTTGTAATAATTAGTAAATATCTGGGATAGTCCTAGCAAAGGATGACACTAGTTCAATAGCTATGTTCTCTGACCATATAAAAAGATGAATATAGAAATCAACTCCAGGATATGGAAACAAGAAGGGTTTTTGTTTCTTTTAATGTATTGTGTGAAGTTATTTCTTTTTTATTTCTTTCCCCCCCTTTAGCCTATCATCTGTTATCACTGTTTTTGATTTTGGTACTGTGTATCTTGTATATATGTTTATCTGATTTGGGGAAGGAAAAGGGGATGACAAAATGGTGAGACAAAGGACAAAGAATGAAGTAATGCAACAGTGATTCTTACAAGACACTATGCTGGAAATGAACTTTACAACTTGGCGGGGATGGGGGATGGAGGAGGGAAGAAGGATGGGGGAAGAGAAAGTGGGAGAAAATGAAGGAAGGGATAACAATGTTCAACAAAAATGTACTAATTCTCTTACTTATGTCACGTAACCCCTCTGCACACATCACCTGTACAATAAAATAAAATTTTAAAACAAAGAAAGGAATACTATATGACACAGTTTTAAGATTGACAAGACTTTCTTTTTATGAATATTAGGTGTCCTTCAAGCACATATGTCATGATGGACAAACACAATATGCAATTTTAAAATGTTGCAGGAAATGTCTCAACATCATTGTAAAATGAATGACAGTTCTACAGAAATGTAGACTAATTATATAATTATTCTTACAGGCAGGCAATGACATGACTAAAAGGAATTGGTTTTAAGGATGAATTTAAAAGTACGTTACACATCGTTGTTATTTTAGTTGCCCAGTGAATACTCTCTTCTGCATGACTCGAAAGAAAGCATTCTTCACTTCCTTGTTCCTAAGACTATAAATGAGTGGGTTGAGCATGGGGATCACGATCGTGTAAAACACAGAAGCCACTTGATCCTTTCCCAGGGAGTAGGACTTCTTGGGTTTTAAGTAAGTGAAGATCATAGTGCCATAGAAAATGGTGACTCCCAGCAGGTGAGAGGCACAGGTGGAGAAGGCTTTCTGCTTCCCTGAGGTGGACTTAATTTTCAAAATAGTCGACAGAATGGACACATAGGACACAGATATTGTGATAAGGGACACCATTAGGGTAAAACCAGCAAAAATGAATATTACAATTTGAACCTCATATGTATCAGTGCAGGACAGTGCTAACATTGGGGTTGTGTCACAGAAAAAATGTGAGATTATATTAGAGTTACAAAACTTTAATCTACTCATACACACAGTGTTCACAGAAGAGTCCATGAAACCAATCAGGTAGGACCCCGTGATCAGGACCCGACAGAATCTTCTGGACATAATCACTGGATAGCGCAGAGGACTGCAGATAGCCACGTGGCGATCATAGGCCATGGAGGCGAGGAGAAAGCATTCTGCAGCACCAAGCAGGACAAAAAAGTACATCTGGGTGAAGCAGCCCAGGAAGGAAATACTCTTTGTGGAAGTCAGTAAGTTCGCTAGGGTTTTAGGGGTGATGACACTTGAGTAGCTGAGGTCAAGAAATGAGAGGTGAGTGAGGAAAAAATACATAGGGGTGTGAAGCTGGAGATCCAGGCGAATTATCATGATCATGCCTAGGTTGCCTAGCACACTAATCAGGTAAATCAGGAGAAACAACACAGACAGTGCCAGCTGCACCTCGCCAGAGCCTGTCAGTCCCATAAGGATGAAATCAGGATACTTTGTGTTATTCCAGGTTCTCATGGTGTGCTTATGGTCACTGTAAAGAAAAGAAAAGTGATACTTAGCTCCAATAAGTAAAGATTGTGTGTGTGTGTGTGTGTGTGTGTGTGTGTGTGTGTGTGCATTGTGATTTTCTGAATGGTCTAGTACTTTTATCCATAGCTTAGGCTGTCTCAAAGTTAATCACACATTTTTTACAATATGACTTAAACATTTACCATTATGTAGAAATATATGTATAAAATGACTTTTGCCGTGATATAAAAGAAGATAACTTCATCATATTAGAACTGACCTGGTCATATGCTAAATATATTCTTTACTGACACACTTGACCCCCAGAATTTTTATGCCATTCATTACATTATAACCCATGTACTTTAGATTAGGCAGAGTGAAGTGAACTCACATGACTTAGCTGAAGTCATTGACAATACATATTAAGTCTACGGTTATTGTTCATATAGTATGACTCCAAAGAGCATGTTCATACTATTTACTGTACTTTTATT